ACGAACATGAAAAAAAACCCTTCAGCCCAGGACGCAAATAAAGAGGCCCAGAATACACACAACAAAGAAAAACTTAGCCACAGACCTGAATGAGCTCCATGAGAAAATGGACGTCCTTGGCGTAAAGCTCCGAGGAGAGATTCTTCACGGCCTGGTGAAGATCCTCCGTGAGCGGGTTCGGATCTTTTGCCCCGATCGAGAACTTGTTCCGCCGTATACTCTCCACGTGTTCCATCGGCGTCGCCATGGTTGTCATCGCAGTGAATTTCTATTACGTTTTTGCAGTATATTTTTCACCAGCGTCAATATATAAATGAATACAAATCTATATATATATAATAAGAATTATCATTTTTAGAAAATGGCAAGTCAAACTCAGTCAGTATTAAATACTTACCAATTTAGGCAAGTTTTTTAATTTTTTTATTTAGTAAAATTGAGCAGCATTTAATGGTTTCCTTAAATTGCGGGATCACTTCATCTCAAATTCAAATATGCGGTTGATTTATGTCAAATAAATGATGTCCTTAAATTGTGTGATTAGTTCATTTCAAATTCAAATATGCGGCTCTATCAAATTTTCCAAACAATGTGGTATTGGTTCAATTCACTTTTGAAAATTAGTTTGCTTTATTATGGCCTGCGGCTGTAATGTTTATGCTGCAATTAACATATCATTTTATTCCTTAAAGGTTTTTGTTCAAATCTCTACTCATATGTATTTCAGTTTTTTATTATTTATTTTTTTCGGTTCAAAATCGGATTGCATACATGAATGGGTTCATTCAAATTTCAGAAACCACAATCACATTTTTATAAATTTGAACTTCCTAAAATGAAGGGTTCTATTCAAATTAAAATTTGAATATCTCTACTGAAATGGTAACTACTCAATCACATGAATTTATGCTTAATTTAAAACTATATTTGTTTGCAATTCCATTTTGGATGGAATTCAAATCACACAATATTTTTCATCTAGACTGATTTTATAAAGTAAATGACATCTTATAAGACAAATAAACAAAATAACAAGAAGTAATACAACACACCATTCTCATTCATACATTCATTATAAATAAGAATTAAAAGTTTATATGCATTGTTCTAATAAGCAGATTAAAGTAAATGACATTATTTACAAGAAAAATATGAAATAACTGAGTAAACAAAACACATTCACACTGAGAGAATCTTATGATTGGTTGTAAAAATTAAGTGGATTCCTAATATTATGTATTTTACTAAAAGATGTTAATATATATTTTCTCAAAGCGGGTGAGCATTTAAAGCGAAAATATGTTGCCAACCATTGTCAAAAATTATCTATTTTGTATTCTCGCAACACACATATTTAAATTATTCAACAATATCCGATTGACTAATTTAAACATTTACTCATCTAAAATTCTAAGGAGATACAATTAAATCTAAATCCAATTTTTTTAACATATATCTAACAAATCCGATAAGCATAACATCATATATAAACCTAATATCAGTTTTTATTCCTATAACCCAACAATGCCACAAAGGTGCAGTCAATATGTCAATTTTACTTTTCTCTATATCTTATCTCCTTTGTTTGATTAAATGCTATGATTGAAACTCATACTGTTTTTTTTTGCAGCATCTACCATAACTATTTTGAAATTGGCTAGAATTGGGAACATTGAAGAGAAGGGAAGTACAAGCATGGAAAAACATGGTGCTACAGATCAACATAATACTACTCATAGAAGAATGATCAGCAGAAGCAGAATGGATTAAAAAACTAAAACAAGTAATATTTTTTACTCAGTTTATTGTTTTACTTTAATTATATGTATAATATAATAATTGTATGCAAGTTTTCATACTTAATTTTTCATGAACATAAAACTACTATTGCATAAAATTGTTTATCTGAATTTCATGTATATATTGTTGAATAATCTGCCTATGTCATGTTAGAAATTCCTATTTGATATTACCATTTCTGTATAAATATTAATCCCAGCAGTTAATGCTCAGTCTTTGTGGGAACTCGATCGAGATTTCCATGCAGAAAAAAAAAAATAGAATTATGTGTTTAATTTCATCTATAATACTAAAATTAAGCAAAACAATTAACAAAGAAATGTGCTAGAACAATATAACCAATTTCATTTACCTCTGTTTTACACTTGCTAAGTTTGATTATAATGAAGCTTGAACTTGCATTATCCAAAATGATTAAAGACGTTGTTCCAAACATGCAAAACAATTAAATAATGAAATGTGTTGTAACTTATAAGAATATAATCAATTTGCAACTATGAATGTTACATTTTTATCATATATCAATGAATCAGTTATTATAATGGTCTATATATTAATATCTATTTGTTAAAAATAATAAAAAAAATAATTAAAGTTAACAAAATCATTATGTGTATGTTTCGCACATTTATCTTTGGATATTTTTTAAAATTTATAGATCTGTCGGATTATAAACTCTTTAAGTATTAATATATTATTTATTCTACTATTTTTCTCCAAAAATCTTTGGCATTAATTAGAAAACATTAACTAATTGAGGTTTTCTTAAGTTTATGTATTTTTCATATTTTTTACTGTTGTAGATACAATATCTATATCGCCATTCAATGATCCACATATATGTACCAACACAATAATGTCAGATCAAGAAGTAATTCAATGCTCTTGATTATGTATCCTCACTGAGATCATTCACGTGAGAACGTTTTGGTTCCGTGGATGATGTTAACTCCTTCTGATGTTAGGATACTTTCAAATTTCAGGTAAAGACAATTCCCAATGATGTGTTCTTATTCTATGACGATAAACAAGAGACAGAGTCAATCTTTATCGCATGTTGGTCTGTTCTTGAAGAAACCAATATTCAGTCACAGTTAGCTGTATGTAGCTGTTGCATGCATTACAGAATGTAAGGATAAGAAATTTTAATTTGAGGCGACGGCGATGTACCAAAAAACTAAACAAATAATATTGTGTACAATGAGGTGTTTAATAATATATAAGTAACATTTTGTTTTATTACAATACATGCGTTTTATGTTCTGACCAATCATCCAATTATCCAAATTTAAATGTTTTCTTTAATAATACTAGGCCGTGCATCGTAACGTACTAGTCAGTTGGAAAAGAAGATGACTTAAAGTGGGGCCCGCAAAAGAGGTTGGAGTGGAGAAGGAATGTCGATTTTGCAGTGTCAGCATATTTATTTGCTTCCCCGAAATTATTTATTTCTTTTTTAAATATTATATATATAATATTTTTAATTAATACCTGTATTTTGGAAACCAACAGTTTATTTTGGAAACCAACAGTTTACACAGTCTTCCAATTTTCACATATTTTCGAGGAAGCAAATAAATATGCGACCTGTCCCCTCCTGCCCTCCCACACTATAGAGCAGCAAAACTATCAGGAAATTAATAAAAAAATCGACATTCCTTCTCCACTCCAACCTCAGTGTGAAGAATACACCGCAAAACGTACTGTCAATAGAAGCCCTCTGCGAGGACAACAATGGCGACGCCGATGGAGCACGTGGAGACGATACGGCGGAACAAGTTCTCGATCGGGCAAAAGATCCGAACCCGCTCACGGAGGATCTTCACCAGGCCGTGAAGAATCTCTCCGCGGAGCTCTACGCCAAGGACGTCCATTTTCTCATGGAGCTCATTCAGGTCTGTGGCTGGGTTTTTCACTGTTGTGTGAGTAGAGACATATACGCGTATCTATACTCGAAATGCTTGTTCTGGGCCTTTGTATTTGGGTCCTGGGTTGAAGGGTTTTGTTCTATTTCGTAGATTTTTTTTTTGCGTTTATTTGAATTTGCTCTGTTTTGACTTTTGGGTTTCTCAAATTTGAGTTGTTTGTTGTTTGTTAGGAAATTGTTTGGTACTATCTTTAGCTGTTGGTTAGGAAGATTTTGGGTTTCAATGTTTGATGGGTTTGTCTGCTATTGTTGGTGTAGTTTTTGTTTGGTCGTGTTTCTAATACTAAACACACTCGTTGTCGACATATATGCATACTGAAATGTCGTACTCTAATGAACATTAACAAAAGTAACAAAAGTATGATGGGTTACGTCTCCTCATACAAGTATGTGATTTGTTTGATGAGAAAATGGTTCAAAGATACTTAAAAAAAGTCAAAGAAATTCGTTTAGACCTGTTTCAAGTAGAAATTTGTGTTTGAAAATTGACTTGAAAATGTAAAATATTTGAGACAGTATGAATTGTAGATTGTTTTGTGAAATATTAATGTAATAAAAGGTGGCTGACCAGTCATATACTCATATTGGCTAATAATTCCATGTAGCCTCTGCTTAATACATACATAGGCTTGACTGGCAACATGCTCTGCTCAGCTCTTGAGCTCAGTTTTTGAATGGTTCAACTTAGTGGGATTTTCTTAGAGTTGCTCATAATTCAAAATCTTGTTCTCCATCTTCTGTTACAGTTCCATACTTCCATTACCTTTTTTATTTAATGATTTTACTTGTATGGTTCTCTACACGTCTTTAATATTAAGTATTAACCGACTACCACATTACAGAATGCTGAGGATAACGAGTACGAGGATGGCGTTGATCCATCATTACAGTTTGTGATCACATCCAAGGACATTACCGGAACTGGAGCTTCGTCTACTCTTCTCATCTTCAACAACGAGAAGGGATTTTCACGAAAAAACATCGAATCCATCTGTAGCGTTGGACGATCCACCAAAAAGAACCACCGCAAACGTGGCTATATCGGCGAGAAGGGTAACATTTTCTATTTTTATTTCTGTATCTCAAAAAGTTTCATAGTTTTGTGATGGATAATGTCATGATAAAAATTAATCTTAATATCGTACCCGACGATGCTTTTTTGTTTGTTTCTTTCAGGAATCGGATTCAAGAGCGTGTTTCTAATCACCTCTCGTCCGTACATATTCAGCAATGGCTATCAAATCCGTTTCGACGAGTCCCCCTGCCCGGCTTGCGATGTCGGCTATATCGTCCCTGAGTGGGTCGACTCGAATCCCATCATCTCCGAGATAAAATTAATCCACGGCCCAAACATAACCCTCCCAGCCACAACCATTGTCCTGCCTTTAAAGCCCGACAAGGTGGGGCCCGTCAAGAAGCAGCTCTCGAGCGTCCACCCAGAGCTCCTCCTATTCCTCTCGAAGATCAAGAAGCTCTCTGTCCGGGAGGAGGGCTCGTCGGGCCCCACGGCAGCACTAACCGCAATCTCCATCTCGAGCGAGACCAACTTTGTCACGAGGAAAAACGTCGATGCCGAGTCCTTCCTTCTCCACCTCTCGGCCGATGCGGGCCCAGAGTGCAGCTACCACATGTGGCGCCAGAGGTTTCCGGCCCGGCCCGAAAACCGGGTCGAGAGGAGGAGCGACGTCGAGGAGTTCTCGATCACGCTTGCTTTCCCCAACGGCGAGCGGCCCCATGTGGGGCCCACGTCCCCCGGTATCAACGCGTTCCTTCCCACTGAGATGGAACGGGTTTTCCCTTCATAATCCAGGCGGACTTCCTCTTGGCCTCGTCTCGGGAGACGATCCTCCTCGACTCCCCCTGGAACCGAGCAATTCTCGAATGCGTGCCGTCTGCTTTTACGAACGCGTTCATTTCTCTCGTCAAGGAAAACGGCGATGCTCCGATTTCGAATCTCCCGCGCATGTTCGGCTTCCTTCCGGTTGACAGCTCGCCGTACCCTCTGCTCAACTCGTTCGTGAGGGAAGCGATCAGGTCGAAGCTGATGGGAGAGAGTATTATCCCCTGCGAGTCGTACACGCAGCAGAGGTTTTTCCATAGGCCCGGGGAAGTCGGGAGGCTGAGGCCCACTTTTTGGAATCTGCTCAAGAAGGCCCGGGACGAAGGGGTGTGCCTCGATAACATCTCGACCCACGGGAAGTACATTCTGAGTTCCGCATTCGACAATGAGGAATGTGACAGCTTTTTGAATTTCTTGAAAGTGGGCCCCGTGGACGATGACTGGTACGCCAAGTGTGTCCGGAGTTTGAATCTCGTTCTGGGAGGATCTGAGGGTCTCTATCTTGAATTCCTCCTTTTCGCGGCTGAGAATTGGCGGGCCTTCTCGAGCACGAGCTTTGTTGATGTGCCTCTTATTAAGTATGTGGGTCAGCAGTCTCAGGTCTCACTTATCTCACCGGGCACAGCAAACAGAGCCTCCCGTCAACAGGAGATTCTTTTCCTGTCCAAGTCGCCCGGTCAGATCACGTGGCTGGTCGATTGGAATGGGGAGTTTGTAAGCGTTCATGACCGGTTTTTCCTTCCTGAGTCAACTCAGCGGGAAATTTGTTTCCATCCCAAGAGGCAGACAATATGTGATTGGCTTTTGGAGCAATTGGGCATTAATTGCGTTACGGTCTATGACTATGCTCTCCAATTGGCGAAGTCAATCAGTAAACGTAAACGCAGAGAACATGCTGTGACCTACGCCCATTTTCTCTATCACTCGACGGTAAAGAAGTACCTATCCACTACAGAGGCTGATCACGCGGCCAGCTGCATGCCGCTCGTTAACAACTATGGGCAGGTGACCCTGAGCAGGCAGGGTGTTATTGTCCCTGCAAGCGGAAGCCGTTGGGTGCAGCTCGTCGGTTTCAATCCATGGAAAAACGAAGGCTATGTCGAACTTGGCGAGGATTATCTGCACTCCGGAAATTATGCAGGTGGGGTAGTCACCCGTGAGAAAGAACTTACTCGTTTTCTCGAGTCTTACGTGAAAGCTTCGGACGTGCCCGATTTGCCCCCTCCCGATGAGGATATCCCAAGCTTCTATTCGTCTTTGACTAAGCAAAATGCATTGCTCCTTTTGCAATGGGTTCATAACCTGAGAGTGAAGAAAACGCGGCTACCCAACAAGTTTCTTAACTGTGTAAAGAACGGAAACTGGCTTCGCGTTTTGCTCGGTGCAAGCGTGACCTTCAAGCCACCATCACAATCCTTTCTCCTTACTTCTTCATGTGAGTGCCTCAATAAATATGGATCGGTTATTGTCGATATACCATTTGTCGATCAGAGCTTTTACGGGAACAAATTATCCGAGTACCATGAGGAGCTGAGACATGTTGGGGTCATGTCTGAGTTTAAGGATGCATGCGAGTACATTGGGAATCATCTCATGTCTGTAGCGGCCTCGTCAGCTCTGACTCGTGCCCATGTGTTCTCGATACTGAACTTCATCCGATTCTTGAGAGATAAACTCCTTCCTCCCGATGGTTTTATAAATAGCATCAAGGAGAAAAAATGGCTGCGGACTTCACAAGGCGAACGGAGCCCGCGGGAATCCGTGCTTTACGACCCGGAATGGGAAGCCGCCTCTCATATTAGCGAAATCCCGTTTATCGACCAAAACTATTACGGGACGGAAATAAATTCCCACGGGAAAGAACTTCAGCTTCTCGGCGTGCTCGTCGGTTTTCGCGCGAATTACAAACTCGTTCACGACAAATTAAAATCTCCGTCCGGCCATTATAGCTACCAGGCAGCTATGGACATTCTTTTGTTGCTCGAGTGTCTGCGTCATTACAGCTCGTCCGAGAAGCTCCTCGGAATTCTCAAAGACTCAACCCTCCTGAAGACAAACAAAGGTTTCAAGTCCCCGGCCGAGTGCTATCTATTTGACCCCACGTGGGGCTGCCTTCTGCAGGTCTTCAACAACACCTTCGCCCTCGTCGACACCCAATATTACGGAGATGAAATTTTATCTTTTACGAATGAGCTGGCGGGAATAGGAGTGCTCGTCAGTTTCGAGGAGGCAGCGAAAGCATTCGCTCGTGTTTTCAGGCAGCAGGCTTCGTTGTCTGCCATTAGTCGAGACAACGTCCTCTCGTTTCTTGCGTGCTGTAGAAAGTTTAAACTCGCCGGTTTAAAATTTCACAAAGATGTCAAGTCGTGCATCGCAGAGGCTAAATGGCTTCGCACTCGGCTAACTGATTACAGGCCACCGAAGCAGTGTATTCTGTTCGGCCCCGAGTGGGCCCCCATCTCTTCGATTTCTATCCTGCCTTTCATTGATGAGAATTACTACGAGTATAAAAACGAGCTTCAGGCCCTTGGAGTAATCGTTTCTTTTAAATCCGGTGCTAAGTTTGTGGCTTCGAGCCTTCGTCTACCTCAGGATCCGAGCGGCATCACGGCTGCAGCCGCTTATTCCTTGTTCGAATGCATTCGGAACCTGCTTACCAATCTAGACGAGCCTTCTTTAATCGAAAATCTCGTTCGTAAATCCGCACGAGCCTGGATAAAGACTCGGGCCGGTTACCGGGCTCCAAACGAGTGCCTGTTATTCGGGCCTAGTTGGGATTCGTCTTCCTTATCCCGTGAAGACGGGCCCTTTATCGACGAGACATTTTACGGGCCGGGCATAAGATCGTATTCGAAGGAGCTGAACGCTTTAGGAGTCGTGGTGGAAAAGGAAAATGGGTGCTCGTTGCTCGCCTCCCACATGGAGTCCCACGCGAAAGATTTCGCGGCCATCAAACGGATTTATTCCTTCCTGAACGAGTCAAAATGGAGAGCTCCGGTTAAAAATGCCGTGAAAATATGGGTTCCGGTTGGGTCCGATGGCGGCAAATGGGTAACCTCTGAAGAATGCGTTGTTCACGACAAAGACGGTCTTTTTGGAGGTAAGTTTTATGTTTTGGACACGTTTTACGAGAAGGAGCTGTTGACTTTTTTCTCCTGCAAGCTAGAAGTCAAACAATCCCCGTGTATCGACGATTACCGTGACCTATGGATTGATTGGGAGAAGAAATATTCGAGCCGCCCTTTGGAAAGCAGCGAGTGCCTCGCCTTTTGGTCTTACGTTGCAAGGCATTGGGGCCCGAAGGCGCGGGAAGCTCTCTCCGAGAGCTTCCAGAAGCTTCCGGTCTTTTGTGGCTCGGGTGGTGGGATTTTACTCGTGGACAAGCGTGATGTATTCATCCCGGACGATCTCTACCTCAAAGACCTGTTCGAAAGTTCGGCTTCTTCACGTCCTCTGTTCGCCTGGTGGCCTCGTCCCAGTTCAAAGTACTTGCCTAGGAACAAGCTGCTTGACATTTTCGGCAAAATCGGCGCTCGGAATTTATCCGAGTCTGTTGAGAGAGTCGAGGACTCGTCCACGCGTGTGTGGCCGGCCGCCCAGGAAAGTTCGGGTGAGGCTTTCGTTCGAAAGAGAGGGTTCGTAAAATTGATTCTTGGTTTTCTTGCGGGCCTCGAAATTGAGCCCGACGAGAGGCATAGTGCCGTGAAGAACTTGCTCGAGGCTACCGTTATCGAGACCCCATCACCGATAACTATCGAGTACAGACTGAGGCTTAAATCTGGGGAGGTCGTGAGTGCCGGTGCACGTGGGTTGATGCGTTGGGAGAGGGACACGTGTCGGTTTTTCATGCACGGGTCGGGCGGGTCGGGTGGTTTTAAGAATATTCTAGAAAGGGGGATTTGTTTTGCTCGGGTGGTCTCGAAGGGGCTTATGTGGGACAAGGAGGATGAGATCGGGCCGCTTGTCGAGCTGGTTGAACTCGGATTTTTACTGGAATTTGACGAGGCGGCGGTCGAGTTCTTGATGAAGACGAAGAACTTACAGATATTTTTGGAGGATGAGGAGTTTTTATCCCCTGCATTGCCTTCTTGTTTGGTACGTGTATTTACATCTCTGAATGTTTAATTTCAAATTTGTTTGTACTTGATTTGATTTGCCCATTTTACCGGTCTGTGAGGATTTTAAAACATTGCTGCTGTGGTTTTTTCTGAAGTCTTAACTAGATTTAATCCTTTTTCCCAGGTATGAAGTTGGATTATTGCGAGTTTTTGTAAACAACTAGCGTATGATGCGGGTTTTTGTAAACAACAAGGCGACTTTGATTGGGTTCTCATAAGCCCATAAGTTCATATCATGTGCTCCAAACCCAAATGAAATGAAATCGTGACTTATTCACTCCAAGACACGTCGTCTGTGAATAAGTCTCGAGGGGACATTTGTAGACAATTATATTTTGAGCCAATAAAATGGCGACAGGTGTCAAATTCCATGTCAAAATCAATTTAATAATTTTATATTTTATTTTGGAAATTATTCAAATTTTAATTCCTAAATTAAATAGTTAATTAATTGATTATTTAATATATATTGTTGGTCAATTAAAGAATACCACATGTATATTTCGAAGGCCAATTAAAGAATGCCACATGTCATTTTCTTGGAGAGTAAAATAAATAATTATTTCTTTTAATAATTATGAAAGAGATAAATAAGTGAACATGATCAATCAAATTGAAGTCTTCTTTTCCAAGAATTCACCTTCTAATTATTTTTTTAATAAATAAATATTGAAAATTATGGACCAATCAAATTGAAGTCTTCTTTTCTAAGACTCTTCTTCCTAACACTTATATATAGGGATCCTCCCTAAGGTGAAAATCACAATTTATATTCATATTTCAAGTTCCAAGTTCAAGAGCTCTAGAGAATTCTCTCAACGAGATTCAAGTGTTCTTGAAGATCCAAAGGCGTTCTTGAAGATTCGAATCAAGATTCAAGCGTTCTTAAAGATCCAAAGGCGTTCTTGAAGATTCAAATGAAGATTCAAGTGCATTCAAGTTCAAGACCGACGTTCAATTCGGAAACAAGCTGTCAAGCCTCCGAATTACGTTATTAAAGTCAAATCCGGCGTAGAGAAGATCGAAGATCAACTTTGCAACGAATACCAAGGACTCGTGTTCTTCACGTTCTTGGAAAATCAAGACGTTCGATTCAAGATCAAGCTGTCAAGCCCTCGAAGAAACGTTATTTAAACTCATATCAAGACCGGCGGAGATCAAACTGAAGATTCATCTCCAAAAGTCTCAAATTCACTTAAAGATTGTTCTTGAAGAAATTAATCAGAGGAATAATAGAGATTTAGAATTCACTATATTTCATTTGATCCGTTGAAATCCATTTGTACAAATTTCTCGTGTTTATTAATTCAAGAATACGAATTTTGCGTTACACAAGCCTAAGAGGCCAATGGTCAACTTCGTAAGGGGTGTCAACCGAATCGGTTCTAAGTTGAGCTATAAGAAAATATGAAATAAATATATTTGAAATTAAGGTTGAGTTTTGAATTTTTGTCTCGTTCGGGAATTGAAATAAAAAAATAAAAAAATACATTTGTTTTGTTCAAAAATAACAAGATATAACTAAGTATAACATAAAAATATAAGAATTAATTTGATATAAATTAAAGAAAAATTGATGATAACGAGTTGATGAAGGATATTTTTTGTTCGAAATAATGGTTATCGAATTTAAATTATTAATTGTATAAGTAGAATTATAAATTAAAATAAATTAAATTAATCACTTTTTATATTTTTGTTTCATTTACTGCTTTAACGAGATAAATTTTATTAATTTAATTGAATTGAAAAAAAAAAATGATCCATAGGGTTAAAAAAGCAAGCTCTGTGCCAGTCACAGGGAACCATACCCACTCATTGGACTATAATCAGCCATGTCAGCGTACCAAATCAGGTCTACTAGGCACGTCACCACAAACCATAAAAAAGAATAGTTCCCCAGAAGGAAACTGTATTACTGTACTACGTTGTCGTTTTTACCGCCACACATCCGAATCCTTCATCATCAAAGAGAATATCTCCACCGAGAGGGGCCCACCATCTCCAATCTACCCCTCCTCAGTCCCATTGCAACAAGGGCAGTTTTGTCATTCGAACAAGATATTTATTTGTTAAATTGAAACTTCATATTTTAGAACACGAATATAAATAAAAAAATGATAGTACTATATATTAGTATAATGGTGCATTTTTGTCTGAGTGTAGGATCGATCTAATGTTTTCACTCAATATTTGTGAAGTATCATGTGTTTTTTAATGGTTAAATTAGACAGATTTAATGGTTAAATAGTTAAATTGTTATTTTTTTAAATATATACGCATACAATGAAATTGAAATATCGTATTATATAAAAATAATACAATAAAACAAATATAATATTTCATAATGAACATTGAACAGTCTTTTATCTTATGTACAAATTTGTAGTGCTTTTAGTTGGCAGTTTTGCTTTGACTGCGAGTTGAGTATAACAAACGGCGTCCCTTCACATTCATTTCGTTACTCTCTATCTCATCTGTTACCACTTTCTCTCTCTTCCGATATCTATTTTATCTCTCAGATAAAACCGTAGAGTTGTTATTTGCTGAAATTGAAAGGTTGAGCAATTTTTATTTTCCCTTTTCTATTTCAATCTTATGAAGAGGTGCGAGCTTTGTAAGCGGCCGGCGCGGACGCACTGCGCGGCGGACCAGGCGAGCTTGTGCTGGCCCTGCGACGCCGCCGTGCACTCCGCCAACTTCCTGGTGGCGAGGCACTCCAGAACCCTGCTCTGCCGCGTGTGCCAGGGCCCGACGCCGTGGTCCGCTTCCGGCTCCGAGCTCGGACCCATCGCCGCCGTCTGCGAGATGTGCGTCGATCAGAGATCAGGCGGAGGAAACGGCGGAGGCGGTTCTCCTTCGTCGGATGAGGTGGAGCAGGCGGTGGTAGAGGAGATTCCAGTGGTTGCATGGTCGCCGCCGCCGGCTGAGAGCAGCTCAAGCGCGGAGAAGACGGAGGTGTCGCGGAAGCGGCGACGGACGGGCGGTTCTTCTGGAAATTTCCGATCCAATGTGATTATTGTTTNGTCGATTAATTTGATAAATTGTTAATTAAATTTATGTTCGATTGGGTAATGAACGGTGGGGATGCATTTGGTGTTTATTTTGCAGGAAGATCAAAGCTCGTCGTCTTCGCTCAACACATTTACTTCGGCGCCGTCGCCGGCGGCGGCGGCGCGTGCTACGGCGTGGCGGAATGCGGGTTCGGAACGGGTGGGTACATGCGGGTCGGGCGTTTTGGATTAGGTGAGTAGATTTTATTTGACCGGAAGGAACGGGTTCGGGTTGAGAAAGGGCCGGGCTGGGTATGTGGTAAAGGCCGTCGATGTGAAATTCAGATACTGACTTTTAGCCGTTAGATATTGCGAAGTGAGAACTGATCTCTTTTGTTTATTAATTAAAAAGTTTATTTGTGATTTTCCTGTCAAAGAAATTATTGTGCTGTAATTGGGATTAGTGAGTGTGAGTGGGTGATTAATTAGAACTTACGCAAAGGAAATCTGTTTTACCGGCTGAGTTTGATAACTTATGGTTAATTGTATAGTACTCCCTCCATTTTGAAATATAAGGTATTTAAGGTTATTGCACAAATATTAAGGAGACATTAATTAATGAATAAATTGATTAAATTAACCTTATTTACTCTAATCACAACCACTCCACACTTCCTTAATTTCAACACAATGAGGGTATATTTGGAAAAAAATGCAAAAATTTGTCTTGATTTTTGAGCACGCCTTATATTTCAAAAAAAATGAAAAATCTTTATACGCCTTATATTTCAAAATGGAGGGAGTAATAATTTTCTCCCCTCATTTTGTTGGTTTGTATGAATAATTCATCACATGTTCTAGAATGATACAAAATCTAATCATTATGTTGTCGAACAGTCAATTTTTTTAGTAGTTTGATTTATATTATGAAATGTTATAATTTATATATTTTTGTTGAACTCGTAAGATTTTAATTTAAATGTGTATAATCCATTGATAAAATATAATTTTAGGTAGTCATATTTTTCTAATAGATATATATACTTACGATGATCATATGTATTCTAAGAAAACAGTAGTACACTCAACTTTAATATTTCATTGCATCGTGTCATTAAAAAATATAAAATGAGCCAAATTATTAACACTTAAATTGATATTTTCAGTTTAGTTTTTTGTCAACGTAACTTTAAATTCAATAAAAGACAGCGAAGCTAATTCCTCATAATGAAAAGTCTCACGTTTGTAGTTATCCGGTTGAGATTTTATTCTATAAAATAATAAGTGAAAGGCTACCATATTTTCTTTTAATTATTTTCTTCACAAATATTTGGGAAGTAGTGGCTAGAAGCTCTACTTAACCAACTTAGAATAATTTAAGCAAAACTAATGGCATAGAATTGCTCATAGCCAATGGATTAAACTTTCCTTAAGCTACAACTAGTGATTCGGCTTTCTTTGGTGTGGTCAGGAATTTCAATTTTTTGATGGATTAAATAATTGTTGGTCTGAGCTGTCTGCTTCGTAAATAGACTTATTTAGCTGCTTAATGTACGACTAATTCACTAATTGTTGTTACTTGTTAGGTAGATACTTATTGAACAAAAAATGAAGCATTATGCACTTATAGCTACGGGTCTTATTGAGCCGAGCTGAGTAGCTCAAATTAGAGTTTTCATTCGTTTAACAAACGAGTAGTTTCGGCATTCAATAAATATAGAACATCAAATGAGTTATTTAAGAACATACAATATTCATTTCCGAACAAGTTTTAGGTTGCCTTGCTTCATTTAAAACCGATAAAATTTAAATATATAAATATATAAAAACAAGTTGTTCGCCTTCAAGCCCGATTCGGCTCTTTTAATAAACAGACTCAATTACGAACCAAAATTGAGCTTTTACAAACCAAATCGAATTTTATTCGTAAACAACTCGTTTCGATCAACAATTCTACTTATAGCATGACCTCCCATTGGAAACTTATTATTATAGTGAATGTAAGTAAAAATGGCACCAAAATATCGAAATTGATGGGTAGTAAGAAATAGTGCTTAAATAGAAACTTTATTAATGAAATAATGAAAACCCTGCAAAACCGTGGTTGAGGCCAGAGGGAATTTCTCATATCCACATGCCTATCATTTTCTTTACATGTAGGCTGTACGTTTTGTAGTTCATTTATTTCCCTTTTTATAATCAATTAATTAAATACCCTCGTTTGAGTGTCATTGAAGGAATTGATTATAAAAGAAAACGTAGAAAGAATCAAGATACGGGGCCACTCTATCTCGTGGTGGAAAATCATTCTTTTAGATCCACAAACATTGGTGTGAATTTGTCCGAGTCAAAATGAACAAGATAATTTGATTTTGACTTCATAATTAAGGTACTATACTTGTTATGCTGTTATAGCTATTTTTATAATTTTCTTTAACAAGTAGGCCCTTTAACAAAGAAGGTGTTAATTGAAAATTACCATACGGGTCTTTTGCCCTCAATGATACGAGTAAGGCTACAAATGAATCGAGCGACTTGCAAGCTGCTCGCTAGCGCTTAAGTCAAAGTTCAGCTCAAGCTCGAGCTGCTCGCATGTTATCGAGTCAATCTCGAGCATAAATTTTGAAAGGTCGTTATTGAATTATCAAAATACTTCTTATACATAAATATTACCGTATTTTATATGTGTACTTAATGGTAATTTTGCTTTAAATTTGAGTCGAACTCGAGCCAAGCTCAAGCGATTTTTCGAGCATTTTGATTTCAATCGATCTCGAGTCGAGCTCGAACGGTTGTCTTCTTTTGTCGAGTCGATCTCGATCCATAAATCGAGCTCGAGCTCGAGCAGGTTAAAAAAAAATCAATTTTGCTCGATAATGCAAATGCCCGACTAGACTCGACTTGTTTGCAGCCCTAGGTACAAGTTAATTTGTCCACCGATTAATGTAGTGTGAAATTAACTTACCAGACAATATGTGGTTAAAAAAGATACTCGAGTCACTAGGTTATATACTTGCATCTTTTGCCTTACAAACTTATTTTACAGAATGAAAATGATGTTTACTTACTCTTTTAATAAAGGACTTGTGGTAGTTATGTCTTGTGTGGTCTGTTACATCTTAATATTGTTATGACATGATCATTGACCCTTAAGTCACTTTCCTTCATATTTCATTTGAGTCAATATATAATGTTTTTTTTGGATAAAACCCCAACAATTCATGTCCTAACATGGCACTCTATGCATGAACAAGGCTAGTGATGCAAAATTTTCCATTTATCTTGTTTCGGCCATAGGCAACGTGAGAATAAGGTGATATGAGAAAAAAGAAAGTCGGTTAATGGATTTACTGAGGTTAAAAAAAATCATGTAAAAAGTAAAAACACAACGTTTCAAGAGACTTTAGGAAAGACTAACGGGTTCACCACAGAGCTTTTGCAACTCAGTTTCCAACAATTTGAGCAGGTCTTGCTTCGTTCGCCTGTAAATCCAAGATCGAGAATCCTGATCCCAATCAAACCTAGACGGGCCACTACAAAACAAATATATACTTAGAGAGAATATGAAAAACTATAAGAAAAACAATGTGATTGTGTATATAAGATAGAAAAGTGATTATAGAATCAAGATATGTCGAGCTTGAGTATTTTTCGTTCGTTCAACTCAACCTCAAAAACCGAACCACCTGTACTCTCAATGTATTTTTCCGTGTCATCGAATCAAAATCAAAATATAGCCAAGGCTGATTATTTGGTGAGATATAATGAACTAGTAAAAAACACCGACATTGGCATCAAGCTGACAATTTATCCTTTTCTTTTTCTTCTTTTTTTAAGAAAAGGAAATGAAAAAGATAAATCATGTCACTCGGAAACAAAGAAGAATCTGGTCAAGAAAGGAACTAATACCTCACTGGAGAGGACATCCAAATCTGCCTATTTGGTGTTTGCTTGTTTATTACATAAGTTCCCAAGTCCCCAAGCTTCAAGGTTAAGACTTCATTCTGAAAACAAACTTATATAAGAAAATGGACTGTAACATAAAGCTTGGCAAGACAAAAATTATTTAATTTTGATCTAAGCTATCTCACCCCATAGTCTACATCATACCCATCAACCTCCACAGAGTCACCATACTCCTATAAGGTAAAAAAAACCAGTCAAACACATAGCATTATCTTGATATGCCATTTTACTGGAACTAGGTAAGTAGATGACATATGCATCTCGACAGACATCTATACTAAGCAAGATCAAAACTTTTCCGAGCGAGTTTCTTAATTGAAATAAATTACCGGGCCCAACATAAAAATGCAAAACAAATATACCTTACTGAATAATCTAAGATAAGAAATCAAGATCGCAACTTGTTTAAATTTTAACGTAACATCAAAGGGATGTATATGACATATGCATCTCAACAGGCATCTATACCAAGCAAGATCAAAACTTTTCCACACAGAGTTATATAATATTCAGACATTTGCGGGCTTTCCGAGCGAGTTTCTTAATTGAAACAAATTACCGGCCCCAACATAAAAATGCAAAACAAATATACCTTACTGAGTTATCTAAGAAAAAAATCAAGATCACGACTTGTTTGAATTTTAACGTAACATCAAAGGGATGTAGATGACATATGCATCTCAACAAGCATCTATATTAAGCAAGATCAAACCTTTGCCACACAAAGTTATATAATATGCAGACATTGCCGGCTTTCCAAGCGAGTTTCTTAATTGAAATAAATTATCGGCCCCAACATAAAAATGCAAAACAAATATACCTTACTGAGTAATCTTAGATAAGAAATCAAGATGACGACTTGTTTGAATTTTTTTTTTTTTTTTTGGTCGGTAGACTTGTTTGAATTTTAATGTAACATCAAAGGGATGATCCTTCATCAACACTAGGATTATCCAAGAACCTGAAGCCTTCCAAGTAGAACATCCCAAACAATTACCTCAAGCTTCTCGAGTAGATTGTGAATGGTTGAATTAGCTAATCTGTGATACTCGTCTTCCTGCAGCACAGAGCTGTGCACAAGTAACATATACGTAAGCTGAAAATCTAATGTAAATCATCCAAATCATTTTAATTTTTAACTAAATCAAATTCTCAAAGTGACCAAATATCCAAAAAACGAATCACCAAAGAAAGCTCAAAAACCCAAAAAATGTGACCATCTATGAAACGTTTTCAGTTCTTACCACCTTACAACATTTCAAATCAAAACCAAAACGAAAACTAAATAAGTAATTTAAAAAAAAAAAATCGTCCCAACAACCCTTTTTCTAATACCCATTGACTCACCGATATGAAAAAAAAAATGATATTTTTGAAATCCCAACAACCCTTTTTTCGAAAATCACCAACACGCCAAGTTTCAGAATCTCACCGATAATCAACGGCGGCGGGCCCAAGAGACTCCTCCTCACTCAGAGAAGACAGACAGCGGCAAAAGACGCCGTTGCATGACAAATTAGGGCGAAGGCTAGGAGCACAATCGGCGGAAAACGAAGGCTCTACAGAGCGGTTAGAGAGAGAAGGAAGCAGAAAGCTTTGGCGTGCTCGAATTGAAAACGACGACGACGACGACTGTAGAGGTCTCAAAGCTCTCAACAGTGTTCTTCTCAGTGAGTTAATTGCCATTCTTTTCTGATTTTTTCTCCTTTCTCCGGAGAAATGTCGAGATTGGGGAATTTTTGGGGTGCGTTTTTTCTATTGGGCCTACCATTCGTTTGGGCCAGCTTAATCATTTTCTGGGCTTTTGTTTGAACCAGCGGTTTCAGTTCATAACCGGAACAGGAGGTTCGACCTTTTTTTAAGAAAATATTTATTTTTAATTATTTTTATTTTTTTAATTAATTCGGCGACAAAGAACTAACAGTTCAATTAACCAGCCGTGCATATGTTCGAGCCGGGGGCCGGTTTAGGGCCTTCAACCCTCGGCCCACGACCAACGATTTCGACCCGAAACTGGTTTTGGCCATGACTATAATCGAATTATCTGTTAACACGTTTCGGTTCGACTTGCGAAAACTCAATCTCGTCTTTCTATATAATTAAGCAAGTCAAACTCAAATAAATAATCGAACTTGTCGATCATACAAATAGAGTCGAACATGTTAACAATCAACTCTGTAAGAGTTTTTTATTTGTCGAGAAAATGAGACCAAATTAATTAGTGGAGGCGAAATCAACAAAAAACAATTGGAAAATAGATAATGGACTATGCAATGAGACGAGCCCAATTAAATAGCCTGCAAGACAAAGTGTGTGTCAAGCTTAATTATCTAGCTCATTTGATATTGTCAAATCAGCCCATTAAAAATTTAAAGGCAAAAGTGTGTTGGACCACATTATATACGCAATTGATAAAAATCTAGTAAAGGCACAATTGTCATTTGACAATGAAGGATTATTTTCTTTCCTCTCACTTTGATCATCACTTTTCCACCATTGTTTGTTAGATTAACAAATTTGACCTGAACCTTAAGATATCCAGTTCAAAATTAGATAGGGCTAAATAAAAAATTCACGGAGCTATATATAATTTTTTTTTTGTAAATAAGTAAGCAATTTTATTTTTTTTGGGACATGAGGTTGGAGCCCACCCTAGCCTAAGGGTGACTCCACCCCTGCATGTGATAGAATATAATAAATCGGTATATTTATGATGTAAGACAAATCTAAGTACAAAATTATAAGGTATTACTCTTAACAAGATACTTTTTTCGATATACATATAAATTTCTAAATTAAAATGTTATATTTAAATAGTAACATAAAAAAATATGTGATATTTTATAATATAAATAGATATTTTTCGTTAAAAAATATTGATGAGTCGACATGCCTAATCCTAACTATTAGAATGCTCGTATAAGTTTTTGTGCAAAATGAAAGTCCAATGTGATTAAATTATTTTTATATTAATGAATAATCATCCAACAGCATAAATCCACAGTGGATGAAAAGCTCATGTTTTAAAAAAATTCAAAATCATCATTTTACATTTAAAAATTTAATGCAAACATATATTTACAAAGTTAAACTACTTCATATTAATTTGTCAAGTAATGGTTATTAATTTGTCATTAGAACCTCAAAATTATCTCCCTTTGGAGGTGCAGTGAAATGCTATTGTAGGATTGGAAGTTGGACATACGAATTTTGAGGATTNAAAAAAAAAAAAAAAAAAAAATAGCAAGTGGCAAAAATTTGTTAATCAAATTCAAAGGTTCTTGTTGAATTTGATTCTCATTCCTTTCTCAATATCAGATAACCAATGGTTATATGCTTGGTAATAGTATTTTATTTGACACAATATTTTTGTTCTGTTGTGTAAAATTAGATTCCACACGAAACTTCTGATCTCCTCACAATTTCACTTTACATCCTCTTTTTTTTATTTATTATTTTTTGGCCTTTGCTTGAGGACAGAACACTGAACAAGTTTTTCTTGGTTGATAAATGAAAATTGAAGAACCTTAAGAAAAAATATGTACCTTCATGTATAATGTAACTTTATTCTTGTGTTTGCTCGTATAAAAACATATAACAAACTCAAACTCAGCTCTTTTGTCACGATGAACACAAATTAATATGTCTATCAACTGATATAATACAAGATTAGTTTATTCTGAACTGCGTGAGTGTTGATTTAAAGAACACATGATCTTATTACACAACAATTTGATAGGTCAACAAATTCAAAATATATACAAAAAAGTGTGTATCCTTGCAATTTACATATATTCGATTAATTTAATCTTGTTATAGACTTGGTTATTGCAATATTATACAAGCTCAAATAATCTTACTTTGTCAATATATGTCAAGTCTTTATTTCATTACATAAAAAATTATGTTTTTTATAAAGCTGATGTAAAATCTTGAAATTTCATTTTTTTGAATATCACAATTTTATTCGAAACCAATAACTAGTCTTCTCATAAATTTTAGCCCATAATCCTTTTAAGTTTTAATTCTGAACATAAAAAAATCATATTCAATGAACTTTAATACATTAATTGCATAAAGTATAAATATATGTAAAAAGTATATTCATGTGAGATAAGAAGCATGTTTGTTTATGGATTTTTTCAAAAAAAAATCCACATTTTAATTCAACCACTTTTTTTAACTCAATTTTAATTCAACTCCACTATCATCAAAATTATTAATATAATTAAATAATATCAATCATTCATTCATATACACCATATCAACCTTAATTCACAATTCATCCACTCACATTATTTTAACTAACTATCACTTCATATCTTTCTCTCATCCTTTTACATCAAATCAATTTTAATTATTTTAGAACAAATATTATTTTAATATACCCACACAACTAAACATACCAGCTTTTTCAAAATTAACCAAACAAAATAAAAAAACCAAAATATTTTATAAACAAACATGCTCTAAATGTACATGACCTACTATTAAAATCGTCATACTTTTTAAAACAAATATGGCGTCATACTCTTAAAAATAAAATTAATTAATACATGACATTTCATAATATAAATATGTACTTTTGTGCACAATGTATTACTTAAAAAACACAAATATATTTCAATTAAAAAAATTTAAATGTATATCATTTCATAACAAAGATAAAAATAACATGACGGGCCATCTAACAGTTAGAATGGCCTATAAGTGCAATTTAATACTTGTAATTAATAATCTTATTTCTATTCATATATTTTGGGAAATTTTTTCGCTACCTGTATACATATCTTTTAGGTCAATAAGCTCCACCTCAAAAAAATAGGTTAATANAAAAACCTATCTGGTGCAATCATCAACTTCAGCTGTATTTGCTTTCCGTGGCCACAGAAGCCTTTCAACTTTTCTTCTCTCGATTTTTTTGAGGTCTTTTTTCCAATCAGATTCCTTGGTATTGAATTTCTCGAATCTGGGTTTACTTTCTTGATCTTGCTTTTAAAAATTCCAATAATTAATCACCGCTAATTTCGCTATAAATCTGACTGAACATTTGTGCCTTTTTTGCTCAAATTAGGGTAGGACGATAATACTAGGAGTGTTGTTCTTCATTTAGAGCCTTGTTATCCCCTGGGTTTCGAGCCGAGGAGCTATACTCTTCAGGCAATCTGGCTTACAAGAGGTTAGATCATAATTCTTTCGTTTTCTTTTTTAATTGTGATTTTTATTATATGTTTGTTGCATGCTTTCAATTTCTTGGAGTTGATGTTGTTTCGTACGAGCTAATGCTCTTTTGTTTTTTCGGATGTTGATTTGCAGAAATTATATGGAAATTAGTGGACTTTGAGCTATGTTTTCTGGTTATAATCCTTATACTTTGAATTATCATTGCCCATATAATGCTTGATTTAATGTCGTTTTGAAATACGGCTACTTTAATGTAGCCAGTTGCTGTTTGCTCCCGTGTTTCGAAGTGTTATCATCAAAGAAGAAAACTTCCGAGCATATCTGTAATCTAAGCCATCTTGTTTCATACGAGCTAATGTTGATTTGGGCTCCTGCAGCTTGTTTTTGATATATTTTGAATTTGTTTTATTGATGTCCATTTGTTGAAAAATGTGGATATTGGTGGAATTTGAGCTCTCAAATGTGGATATTGGTGGAATTTGAGCTCTTTCTTTTCTTTAATAATCCTTGTTAGTTTGAATTATTATTGCCCATATGATGCCTAATATTTGTTGTAGCACTAATGTAGTTATGAATTACAGCTACTTTGATGTAGTAAATTGTTGTTGTTTGCTCCCGTGTTTCGAAAGTGCACGTGTTATCATCAAAGAAAAAAAATTGAGAGCATATTATTTCAATTTCTTGGAGTTAATGTTGTTTCCTACTAGCTAATGCTGATTTGGGCTCTTCTGTTATGTTCTGATATATTTTGAATTTATCGTTCCTCATGTTGATTTGTTGAAATTGTGTGGAAATTGGTCGGATTTTTCAAACCTAAGTTATAATGCCTTATAATTTGAATTATTATTGCCAATGTGATGCTTGATATTTGTTACAGCTCAATGTAGTTTTGAGTTAAAGCTACTTAATGCAGGCAGTAGTTGTATTGAGAGCATATCTGTAATCTAAAACCTCTTTCAATTTCTTGGAGCTAATGCTGATTCGGGCTCTTGTTTTTTGTTTTGATATATATATATATATATATATATATATATATTTTCATGAAGTTAATTTGTTGAAATTATGTGGAAATTGGTGGGATTTGAGCTGTCTTTTTTCCTTTATAATCTTTATAGTTTGAATTGTTATTGCTCGTATAATGCTAGATTTTTGTTGCAGCTCTAATGTAGTTTTGAATTACAGCTACTTTAATGTTGTCAGTTTTTTTTTGCTTCCGTGTTTCAAAGGTGCATGTATAACCATGAAAGAACAATATTGAGAGCATATCTGTAATCTGAGCCTTCTCTTGATAAATAATTAAAAGAATTATTGCAAGGGAACTGTAGAATGCTTCAATCTTTTGCATAAACAAATTCTGTTTCTTGTTTGTTAACATCCGAACAGAATATATTTTTCTATCCACTGATAGTTTTTATTCTGCATTGTTGTTTTTATCAGGCATCTGTCTCTTACATGTATTACCGGATCTGGTCTCATAGAGTCGAAGAAGTTTTTATTTCAGTCTGGCAGCTAAAGTAACGTCTAAGATTTCTCACACCTGTGAGAGGGTGTGGGGTGTTAAAGAGAGTGTGATCCTTTTGTGTGTTCTGAGAAGATCAAGATCATCTCACATTTGGAGATTGTGCCGAATTTCGGAGGGTTTGTCGGTTGACTATGGCTAAGATCCCCTTTCGTTGACCACAACCTAGCATTGCCTTCAGCGTGTGATTTTTTATTTTATTTTATTTTATTTTATTTTATTTTTTTGCTTTGCATGTATTTTGGAAAGTAAGCTTACTTGACTTTCAGTTACTCTAGAATCTTGGAATTAGTGTTATCTGATGTGAGCCAAATCGTTGTTTTGGAGAGATGGTTAGATTTTCATGCTTTCAAGTTCAGAGTCATTCACATAAACACAAGGTCGGTTGATTACTCTTTTAATTTTATCCTCAAGATC